CAGCTCCACTAATTAGGTGGGTGGCCCTTCATTCTCTCATGTGCAGCTGCCCAGGCACACACCTTAGAGGGAACTTATCTGCGGACCACTTGAATGATGCTCCACGGACCACAGTTTCAGAACCTCTGTTCTAGACCATAAGTTGTCTGCATAACTGCAGTATTGCCAGCCCCAAAAGTTCAACACTCATCAGTCAAGACTAAACCTAAAAAAAAATTTTTTTTTAAATGGTCATTTTTGGTCTTTTGATTTTTTGAATCCTCTCAGCACACCCTGAGTTTATGTGACAGCGTTGTCAATCTTTGCAAATGTATTGAGCCAAGCAATTCTGGCACTCGCTGGCTGCCTGACAGTGCAAAGCTTCCAGCTTCTTCCCCAACATTTTGATTAATCTGCCTCTCTTCCCCACCTCCAAGTCCCTCTGCCAAGCAATTAATTATGCAATCCCCCATTTAAATTCGACCTCAGCCTCACCTCATGCAGCACCTAGGGTTCTTTCTCCTTGCCACCCGCCCCCCCAAGGCCTGCAGAAGCATCCTCTTCTCTCCCTTCATAGGCCTTTGGAGTGGGTGCATAACTCCAGGGAGTTCTTCATCCCCTCCCCACTTCCCAGGCCAGGCACTGCAGAGATAGAGAAGACAGTAAAGGAGAGAGCAGAGCATGGTGGAAAGAGAGGAGAACATAGGTGCCCTGCCCTGGAGATATTGGGTTCCTTCTGCTCCCTCCCCACTCTATTCCTTTGAGAATGTTGTCAGTTGCGCCCTCTCCCTGCTGCCCTTCCCAAATATTTCCCTGACTTCCCTAGGAGGCCAACAAGTGGGGACTGGGGAAGACAGACAGAGGGGGCTTCCCATAGGCAGAACTGAACTCCAGGAGAGGGCTGGACCTTCTGGTGTCATCAGGAGATTGGCTCCAGCCCCAGAAGAAATCGTTTTACTTGAAGAAATTATGGGAGCTGGTAACACTATTCATAGAGTTTAAGGCGAGAAAAGATCATTAATTAGATGACCTAATCTAATCACCTATATATCACAGGCCATTACATTTCACCCAGTTACCCCTGATAACTTGTCTGACTAAAGCACATCTTCCAGAAAGGCATCTGAAGATATCAAGAAGATTACAAAGAGAAATGGTGGATTTGCCATTTGTTTCAATCATTAATCACCTCCTCACTATTAAAAAAGTGTCTAATTTCTAATATAAATATGTCTGGCTTCAGCTTCCAGCCATTAGTTCTTGTGCTGCTTTTCTCTGCTAGATTAAAGATCCTGAAGATCTTTCTTCCCCCTGAAGATACTTATACACTCATCAAGTCACCTCAATCTTCCTTTTGATCAATTAAACTGATTGAGCTCTTTAAATCTCCCACTGTTATTTTTTCCAGTCTTCAAATTTTTGTGGCTCTTTTCTATTTTGAGCCTCTCCAATTTTTCAACATCCTTCTAAAAATATGGATACCAAAACTGGATGCAGGATTCCACTATCGACCATACCGATGCCATATGCAGAGGTAAAAATCTTCCCGCTCATTACTCCCGATTTTACCTCCAATGATCACATTAGCCCTTTTTGCCACAGCATCTCACTAGCTCATGATAAGATGTTTCTCCACTATGATCCCTAAACCCTTTTCAGTCCCTGCCTACCAAAATACAGTCCCCCATTCTGTAGGTATGGTCTGCATTCATTGTTCCTAGGGGTATAAATTTGTATTTGGCTGCATTAAAATGCATTTTGTTTGAATGAGCCCAAATTACTATGCAATCCACGCAACTGTGTTTGTAACAATGTTGTTTGGGGCGGTGGGGTGTTATTTATAATGCAAAATGCAAGACAGCACTCAAAAGCTGGCTGGGCGTGTTGAGACCATTGCCTACCACAGGAGTGGGCAAACTACGGCCCGTGGGACCGTCCTGCCCGGGAGGCTAGCCCCCCCCCCGGCCCCACCCCCGCTGCCTCAGCTCACTGCACCACTGGTGCAATGCTCTGGGCGGCAGGGCTGTGAGCACCTGGGGCAGCGCAGCTGCAGAGCCTGGCTTGACCCGGTGCTCTGAGCTGTGTGGTGGCGGCGGCAGCACTGTGGCCTGGCTCCAGCCGGGTGGCACAGCTGTAGCACCGCCAGCCACCGGTGCTCCAGGCAGCGCAGTAAGGGGGCAGGGAGCAGAGGGGGTTGGATAGAGCGCAGGGGAGTTCGGGGTGGTGGTCAGGGGACGGGGGTGTGGATAGGGGTCGGGGTGGTTGGGGGGGAGCAGAGGGTTGAATCGGAGCAGGTGTCCCAGGAGGGCAGTCAGAAAGGAGCAGGGGTTGGATGGGGTGGCAGGGGGCAGTCAGGGGACAAGGAGAAGGTGTGGTTGGATGAGGCAGAGGTCCCGGGGGGGCAGTCAGGGAACGGGGGGGTTGGATGGGGCAGATAGGAGGTGGGGGCCAGGCCCTAACTGGCCCTCCATACAATTTACGAAACCCAACGTAGCCCTCAGGCCAAAAAGTTTGCCCACCCGTAGCCTACAATATCGACCAATATTGTTTCATTGATTCCTTGTACTCCCCAGTCTGCCTGTCTGTATCCACTTGTTGTCTCTTGATTAATACTTAAGATTGTGAACTCTTTGGGGGCAGGGACCATCTTTTTGTTCTGTATGTACAGTGCCTAGCACAATGGGTTACTGGTCCATAACTAGGGCTCCTAGGTGCCATGGTAATACAAATAATTTTTTTCATCATAAAAAGTAAAAAGCAAAATTTCTTCATTAATTGTTTACTTCATGTGGCACAAGATTGTTTACTTCATGTATTTTCAATAACTGACATTTAGCTTTGTTATTTCCTACAGTTCTGAGAAGATGGAAACCTGTATTCAGTAACGTTGGTTAGGAGTTTACATGTGTGTATGGAGGGGAAATCCTGTGACATTTCTATATCAGCAAAAGCTCTAGTGCAGTCACAGTTATACTGGGATAAAAATGCTTTTCCCAGTATACCATTTTCCTGAGCAAAATAAGGTATAAGCAATACCAGCAAAAGCACTCTTCTACCAGTATACGCTGCATCTACACTAGGAAGGTTTGACAGTATAGCTAGAATGTTATAGTTATATCAGCAATCCTTTTCTAATGTAGACTAGGCCTCAGTTTTTATACTCTAGTATTACCATACAAATTAAACAAATTATTTTCAAAAAATTACATCACTGTCCATCTTTCTTAGCATACTGGTTTTATTTGTTCTGTATCTGTCCTGCTGACAATATGATAATCCCCTTAAAGTTGCTATTTTCCACCTTTCAAATGGACTTGTATCAATGACAAACTGTATATCCTAACTAGAAGTCTTCATCCAGGTATCACTGAATTTTGTGCTGTTTAGATTTCATTTCACCTACTCCGACTCTTCCAAACTCCCAGTCCCGGAAATCTTAGAGAGAGAGCTAAATGGAACTATAATACAACATGTAAAACAAGCCACCCCTTTGGAATTCTACATACTATCAGCACCAGCCATAACGTAATCAAAGTCAGCCATACACATGAATGACAAATACCAAAAACAATCTTCTCAAAGACTCAAGAACACTGACA